GACAGCCGAGTGACCCTGGAGAGGCTGCTCTGGTGTGACAGGACTCATAGCCCCTTAAAGACCCCCTTTCTCGCATCTGAAAGTCCCTGGCTATTGCTACTGGGGAGACAACCTTGAGTCCTGTGGAGCACAGGTGATTTGTTATGGGGAGTGAGTGTCACGCCCAGGGCTGTGTACCAGGTGTCTCCTTCCAGTACTCATCTGGATGACCTCTGACCCAGTGCCTGTAGAAAGTCCTGATTTCCGGGTCAAGGGGTGTCAAGTAAGAAGGGAAGGTGGCAGGAGAGAAGGTCAATCCCCTGTAGCAGACATAGGACATAACTCTTGCAAGTGAGGAATTCTGGAGGCCCTGTCACACTTAGGCCACTGTCACTCATAGGACACGGCCATAGGTCTGAGTCTGGGATTTGAATTCCAGGCAACTTGTCCCAAAGCCCATGCTCAGCCATGTTGCAGCATCTGGAGGGAAGTACGCTGCTCCAGGGTACTCGGAGGACAGGGTCCATCAGCCAGCGGGAGATCTGACCTCGCTTTCATGCTCACACTCAGGGATGCTGTCTTTGAGCAAATGGCGCCCCTCTCTGGGTATCTGAGTCCCTGCTCACCCGCAGCGGCAAACAGCTGGCTGAACTCGGGCCAGAAAGGGGCAGACTTCAAGTAGTGTGATGGGGTGGGACTCAGTGGTTGCCATGCTAACCCTGCATCTGCATCTGCGAGGCTCTGGCTGACCTGTGGGACTGAGTCCCCAGGGGCCTCTGCTCTATCAGGCTGTAGGGGCCACCTGGTTCCCAGGTCAGCAGTAGACTCCAGCCTTGCTGCAGGGCGGGACATGGTCACTTCCTTGTCCCCTGCCTCCTTCCTCCTGGCTCCCTCCCAGTTATGCTGGCCTTCCAGCTACTCCTGCCTAGGGCCTGTGCACTGATTTCATCTCTCCGAAGCCTCCTCCCTTAGAAGCTGGCAGACTCCCTTGCTCTTCTTACATCTTTGTTCAAATGCCACCCTCCCTGGCTTTCCCCAGCTCCAGTGACACCTCAGCCCCGTCTCTGTCACTCAAGCCTTTTCCCTGCCTTATGCCTTGTTAGCATTTGTCACTATCATTTTCCTGTCCCTGCATTGCTCACTGATGTCCCAGGTCACCTGTGCCAGCACTGGGGGTTCTGCTGGGCAGCTTTCTCCTATACCTTTTGGGCCTCTGGATGCACCCCCCCCCGTAGTTGAACCCTGATGGAGCAGGTGAACCCAGAAGTATGTTCTTGGCTAAGCAAAGGCACTGTAATGTGGGTTACTGTCTAAACTGTAGAGTGCCATGCTTTCTGGAGGTCTCGGGTGGACACAGCCAGATTCTTGGGGCTGGGCCCAGGAGAGGCCTTTAGGGCATCAAGTCTCTGACCTGAGGCAGGCACTGTGCCAGAGGAGTCAGGGAGGTAGGTGTCAGAAGTCATGTGAGGGCAGTGTGGCTGGAGGAGCCCAGGAGTCTCCTAACCTGAACTATCTGGGAGAAAGAATAAGTATGTTCCCATGAAGCTGTTTTGTAAGCGAATGCCAGAGCCACAGGGTGCAGTGGGAGGCTGGCGAGGAAGATGGCAATCCTGCCCGCCCACCCGAAGGGCATGGGTTCAAGTTACAGGGTCAGGAATGCTGGGAGTTCACTGGGCCAGAGGCGAGGTTTCCCCCAAACTGTGAGTGGGTGGGTGTGGCAGCTCCAGTTCCTGCTGTGGGGGATGGGCAGCATCCTGGCAGTGTCAGGATGACACTGAGCCCTTGCGGGCTGCGGGGACGCCCAGCTTGTCACACGCTTATTTATCTGTTCCTCGGATGCCTGCTCAGTGCTGCACACTGGGGACTTTAGTGTGACCTGTAGTCTTTCTTCAACTCTGGCCTCTGTTCTCAGCCGTCCCTCACCTAGAACTCAGCCTGTGCTCTCCTCCACTCTTGGTCCCCGGTCCGGTCCCCACAGGACACTTGTTAGATACCTCTGAAGTCACACTGTGTGCACCTGTTTCCTTGTCTCCCACCTTGCCTCCTGTTCCAGCTCATGGCTCTTGCTCACCGCACAGGCCTTGACATACAGTAAGCACACAAAAAATGATTGCTGGGTGAGTGTGCTGAGGGAGGCAAAGGTCCTGGTGGCAGTTCAGGGCTGGAGCTTTGCCGGATGTTTAAGGGCCTGTCAGGCCAGTTGCCTGGGGAAGGGCTGAAGGGAGGTGGGAAAGCAGGCCTCAGGGAAGGGCGAGGTAGTTCAGGGATGAGAGCCCAAGTGCTGGCAACAGAAATAAAAACCCTCAGTCCACTGTTCCCACAGGAGCAAGAGACCTCACCTGCAGCCTGGCTTCTCTCCGTGAGGGGAAAGGCTGGCCCATGGGGCTTGTGTTCCAGACACTCACTTTCTGCCTGTCTGGCCCTCTGGGTTTTGCTTTTGACTGCAGTCAGTGGCCGTCGGAGGACCCTCCCACCCCACCTCCACCTTCACTGGAATTTCAGGGTCCTGGAGGCAACAGAGGCTTGGGGGGCATTGACTTTTAGGACACCTGGGGGCCACCAGCTCATCTCCTGCCCAGTGGCCACATCTGTCCCCACCTGTCCCTGTTTAAGTACAGCTGCTGGGGAAACTGTTGCAGGCAAAGTGGCAGTCTGCAGCGCAAGCGCACCCTCTGCTGGCCCCAATGGGTACGAAGGCCTGAGTTGAACCTGGAGTCAGAACTGCAGACTTGAGCCAGGAACGAGAGCTTTGACACCAGCTGTGTATGAGCGCTCTCTACCTAAAATCTTGTCTAAGCATTAGAATAACTTGTGTATGTAGAAAGACACAGAGGGGTTAGTAAACCTGCCTGGAGTCACACAGCAGAGCCTAGCCTTGAGCCCTCAACAATGCCTGTCCCCACCCATCCACTCCCAGTCCCTAGTATTTATGGAGTTCCTAGGGAATGCCAGAGTGAGCTCAGACAGTACCAACACAATAGGCCCTGCCCTGCTGCTCACAGCTGACGTTCAGTGGGATGGTAAGGGCAAACAATAGGAGTAAATATGTCCCTATCGCGTGTGATAGAGCCGTAGTCTCCCAGTTTCAGTCAATGTCCGACCTGAGATGGGGGTCACATCACTGTCCTCAGAACCCAGTGTCGACAGCCAGAAGGGGTACCCCTGACACCTCCAAGATAAAGCTAGTCCCTGGTGGGGATGGTCCAGCTCTGTATCGGCCTAGGATATGCTGGGGATGCTCAAAAAACCTGGGCTACAAAACCTCATCTCACAATCACGAGTCATTGGGGTTTGTATGATTAAGATGTGTGAAAACATCATAATGAAACCCATTTACTGTTCATGTTATTTTAAAAGAAACTAAAAATGACATCTTCTTACTGGCATTCCTAGTTTCTCACAATGACTGGTACCTTGTAGCTGTTGATGGTACTTTGGTCAGCTTCTGGAGCTTGCAGGGCAATTTAGGGCCCAGCCTGTGAACACAGGTGCCAATACCCAGACTCCTGGGGTCATAGCAAGCTCCTCAAAGAGCTCCTAGGCCCATGGTTCCCAAGAAACCAAAGGCATGTCAGGCATCACAGGGGGACCTGAGGCTGGTAGGTCCCCTGTGCAAAGGCTGCGGGGAGATGTCACATGACATCGCTTCTACAGAGTTCTGATGTTCACAGCTGCAAGGCTGGCTCCAGCTGGAGGATCTGTCCCAAGCCATTGCGACTGGTGGACATCAAGGGACCCATGTGGATGCTATCGCCCAGAGCTGGTCCTGTTGGCTCATGGTGCTGTCACCTCCCAAAAGAGAACATGATGCTCTACAAACTGCTCAGTGTTGAGAACCCCAAGACCAAGTCTCAAGTCACCTGGCAGTGACAAGGAAGCAAGAGACCCAGACATGAAGGGACATGTCAGCATCCTCTTGCTCCTTGGGGGTTCCCTGAGGGCAAGGGACCTGTTGGCAGGCACCAGAGAGGGCAAAGTGGTTATCCACCTGGGGTCTGGCAGAGCCTTCTTCTGGAGGGCCCCATGTTGGGGATGATCCAGCCTTTCCCCATGGCCAGCTTCAGACACCTGAACTGGCCAAGGGCCAGAAGGGAATTTCTGCTCCTCCTGCAGGTTGGCCTGTTTCCAGTGATAGCAGGTTCACAGGATGAAGTTCAGCTCCTGGGCCAAGGCAGCTAGACATGTCCTCACTCCTTGCATAGTGGACAGCTGAGGACCAGTTGTCAAAACAAGAATCAAAATTCTTGTTTGAAACATTGTAGCCATGACAACGCATCAGTATTCTTACTTTTGGCTTTCAAAGTTCAGCCAGTGAGGGTTCTTCCCAATGAACTGAGTAGGTAGAGGACCCCAAACTCACCTCGGCATTTTCAGCCTTTACTGAGAAGTGCCTCTTTCAGATCCAATGTTTGGTGAGGGTCATTTGATTTAGCCAGGGTCATGCACTGAGGCATGGTGGGCTCACCGGTGCCTCCACCCCTAAATATGAGGGTCACAGGTGTGCACAACCATGACCAGCTGTTTGGTCTCCCTCAAGGTCTCGTCAAAGTCCTAACCTTGCTGCTGCCACCTCCCAAATAAAAACTTTTAACAGCTCATCTTCTGGCTGGCAGTAGAGAATATACTTTTAATCCAGCACTTGAGAGGCACAGATAGAATCTGAGAGTTCAAGGCCAGTCTGATCTACAAAGTGAGTTCCAGGACAGCCAGTGCTACACAACAGAGATTATGTCTCAAAAACAAACAAAAACCCCTCAGTTCTTCACAGACAAACTGGTGCACAGGCCAACCCAACCACTGCTTGCTTCTGACCACTGCAAGTGAAGGGCAAACCTCAACCACAGATGTCCCTGGCAGGGTCCCTTTACTTCAAGCGCAGCAATCAAGAGCCCAGACTTGGCTGGAACACCTGAGTGTTCTCACCTGATGCTTTCAAACATCATGCTGTTCTCAGAGCATCTAAAGCATTTGACCCTCTTGCTGAATAAGCCTGGCGGAATAAGGGCACAGCCTGCTCTGTATCAATGCACACTTGTTTATTATTATAGTAAAATCAGGCAATGACCGACAGCACACTGCTTATGGAACACTGTTAAACTTGACTTACAGGATGCCTAGCCCGGACAGCTACAATTTGCCCAGAAAGATCAATGGCCACATGAACCACACTTCAGACCTGATAGTTGCTGCTTCAACAGGTGGGTTCACATATATATATGCTCACCCCCCCCCCACAAAAAACCCAAACCCAAAAAAACCCTTGCAACACAACAAATTGCCTTTATTTCGGTATGCATCCATATTTCAACATTTAGTGGTCCTGAACAGAGTGGGGAACATGGCAACGAGCCAGGAGGCCAGGCCCACTGAAAACTCGTGACACAGAGCTCCTCCAGGTCCCTGCCGAGGGTCTGAGGAGCAGCAACACTGAAACCTGAGTCCACAGGGTCAGGGCCTCTGTTCCAGCTGTCAGGCTCCACATCAGACCTGATGGGTGGCCAGGGAGCCCTGTCCAAACCTCTTCAGTTTGTAAAAGCAAAGCAATTATGAGAAAAGGAACCGACACAGAACCCCGTGCGCTTAGGACTCTCCGCATGGCCTTTCTCTAGGCGGAATCACCAAGGACCCTGAGCGCTGGCAGGTTTGTTGCCTTGTGACTGCTCTGTTCACCTCGAGACCTGAGCTCAAAGTGCATCGGCTGATGGTGGCAGCAGGGCTGAGGACCCAGCACCCCCTTCCCAGGCTGGTGGCAAGTGAATGTGTGGTCCAGAGCTAAGTGAGGGAGGCCAGGCTCTTCCAACCTCATCTGATGGCTTCTGGCCACAGCAAGTGTTGGGTGGTGATGGGCAACAAGGGAGTTGAGGAGGGGGAAAGCAGCACCCCTTGATAAAGGTGGGGAGACGGGAAGCCCTGAATTCCTCACCCACGGCCAATTTCAGAGGGAGGGGAGGGTTACAATCTAAGCTTTGGCCAAGAGCGGGAGTGGAGGAACGGGTGGGGGGGGGGGAGGAGAGATGATGGCTTGGACGGGGCATCACTTAAGACTTAAGGAAGCAGGGGTACAGCCAAAGCACCCCAAGCCCAGCAGTAGTCCCACGGCTGCTACCTGAAGCCTTCCCATCTAGTCTAAGAGCCACCACACAGCTGTGGCAGGAGGGCGGGGCGGGCAAAGGCAGACCCAGGCCATGTGTCAGCAGCAGGTGATTGTGTGACGTGTCTGTTCACAGTTGCGTTAGCTGTGCCCACCGCTCCCAAAGGAAACTGATTTCAACACACCTTCTTGATCCCAGAAGTTCAACTAGGCAGCCAGCGGTTACACTCGACAGAAGATGTTACACAGCACAACTCAGGTATTTCAAATGGACAGAAATTAGTATCAGAACAGTGTCTCAGGATGAAGTCTCAGTGGAGCTTCCTCTCCAGGACTTTGAGGTCTACAAGATGAATCTAGAAAATTCACTACTGTGGAAAATGAAGACTTAGGTTGGACTGGGGAGGGGAGGCCTGGGCCTTGGTGACTAATTGCTGTAACACTGTCCTTCTGGCGGCTGTGGCAGCTTCATGTTCTCTTTTGACATCATCAAGCGTCGAAGCTCCTGCAGGATGACTTTGATGCTGTGGGAATTCTGCCACTTTGCCAGCACTGCTGTGGCCCTTGGGTCCACCTGCAAAGAGGGGGAAACACCTACATTACCCTGTGGCGCCCAAGACTCCAGAGCAAAGCTCTCCCCGAGGTTGATATGTTGAGCCCACATGACCCCATCAACACAGAAGCCATGCCAAGCCGCCCTCCCTGCCCTGTGCCAGCCTGGGTCCCACCCAGCACAGAAGAAGGAACAGAACCTGTGGAACATGGGAAGACTTAACCTGGTCAAACTCAGGCCATCCTGATGGATCAGCACCTGGGCTGTCCACACCCTGGCTTTCTCCGCTATCCACCCAGGGTGGGGCTGATAAAGATGGGAGCCGCAAGCAAGAGCAGCCAGGTCTCCCAGGTTACCAAGGGGTTGGTGGCTCCAATACAGCAACACACAGGACAGTTCATTTCTAGTTCTCTGGCCCATCTTCTCAAGACTTCAAGGACAGAGGCTGGGCATGGTGCCCCAAGCCTCTGGCAAGCACTATAGAGACTCAGGAGTTATGGCTGGGGTGTGGCTACATGCAGATCCCTAGTCTGAGAAAGGCCCTGGGCGCTCATGCACTGAAGTCTCAGGGCAAGGCCTGGATCCGAGATTCTGTTGTCAAAATACACTTAGAAAGTAAGGTCCCAGTTAGACACTCGGGAGGGGGTAGGAGGAGAACTGACTGCCATGGGTAGAGGCCAGCCTGGGCTACATAGTAAGTTCTAAAGCTAGACATGGCTACAGAACAGGATCCTCTCAAAAAAAAGAAAGAAAAGAAAAGAAAAAGCAAACGGGCTGAAGAGATGGCTCAGCAGTTAGGAGCACTGGCTACTCTCCCAGAAGACTTGAGTTTAACTCCCAGCACCCACATGGCAGCTCACAGTTGTCTGTAGCCTCAGTTTCCGGGGACCCGACACTGTAACAAGGACATACAGACAAAACACCAATGCCACTAAATAAATTAATTAATTAAATAAACAAATAAAATTGAAGCTGTGGCATGGCAGTGGTCAAGGCCCCTGTAAAGATGTCGGAAAGGTCAAGCCTCTGCCTCAGTTTCTGCACCTCCGTCAACACTCTTATCAGTGACAGTACAGGGAGGGCTCCAGGAGTGAGCTCAGAGGAGTGACAAGACACAATGGTGCAGACACACTGTGATAACCTGCGGAGGATAAGCCAGCTGTGGGCAGGAGGGGACTTACCACGCCATTTGAACTGCTCACGCCGCTCATATTGACTTTTGTTACAAATCTTACAGAAGGGGGTGCTTCTGGGTATTTAGGCCCACATTCTATTTTAAGGCTGTATATTCGGTTTTCATAAATTGTCTGGAAAAAAAAAAGGTACAGAGATATCAGTTATGAAGAGCTAAGAGATGTACAATACAACTTGTGACAACTTCTGAAACACTGTTGTCCTTGGACCACAGCTTGTGTGGACAGGTGGGAGATCACAAGGCTCTGCACTAATCTCCGAGGACCCCAGAACTACTGATGCTCAGGTGTAAGGGTCAACAAGTCCAGCCCAAGGCCACTTCTCCTACAGCGTGTGCCACCTGGCCACAGAACCTTCTTTCTGTTTCGTAGCAGCGCTGACATGAGAAGCCACCAGCATCTAGTGAGAGAAGTCCATGCAGCTGACGCACCGGATCACCAGCAGCAGCATCAACTCTGAAATGGCAGCTATGGCTGGGCGTCATGGTGCAGACCTGTAGCCCCAAGAGCAAGGTTATCTGTAACTACACAGTGACTTTGAGGTCAATCTGGGCCATGTATGTCTCTGTCTCGAATCAACTGTTGGGAGTTGTGGAGATGGCCCAGTGGGTAGAGGTGCTTGTTATGCAAGTCTGCCAAGGCGAAAGGAGGAAAAAGAGTACGAAATATGTCTGCTGGTCCCTAAAAAAGGCAATCATGCCTTCATGAGAACACAGGCAGGCCTAACCCCTTCACTAGCACCACTGACTCTTAAGTTCAGCAATAAAGCATGGCTGGCAACATGCCCCATCCTGCAGGAACATTCAGTCCAGCTGGAACTAGCACACAGCTGAAGACCGGGCTCTTAACAGCATGTAGCCCTACTCTGTGACTGCACCCTCAGACAATACTGCCATGACCTCCCCCATGGGAGCTGGGCCCTGGACTAGGGGTCACCCTTCTTTCGTGAGCCCTTCTCACATGGCAGTGTCCCCTCCTTAGGAGTCTTGCATGCACAACAGTTGCTCCTATGCAAACAGTGACATCTACTGGTCTCAGGGTCTTTTTAAAAACCACTGACCACGTCTAAGAAGCCAGTTCTTCAGGTCACTCATCACAGGTCTACCTATGCAAACCATTCTCACGCCAAGCTGACTAAGCCAGTGCTCAAACATAATCTTGCCACTCTCAACCTCTCCCATTTCTCCCTCCCTCCTTCCCTCTCTAAGAAGTGCGGCCAGCATGGTCAACCAAAACCTAGCTGCAGGGCTGGGGGTCTGGGTGGAAGAGTGCCCTCACAGCTTGTGGATTCACATAGCTGAGGTCTCCCTAAGCCTACAAGGTTAGCCTCTCAGCTCCCAGCTGAGACTCCGTGAAGAGCCAACCTCCAGGGACATCCAAGAGAAACCAAGGCAAAACTGCCAAAGGGCAAAATTCCAGGTAAGAGCTATAGAGTAAGGCCTTGCCTCAAAAACAAATAAACAAGGAAATAAATAAATGAAGGAGCTGGGGAGCACTAGTTGCTCTTGCAGAAGACCATGGTTCAGTTCTAGCACTCATACGGCAGTTCAAAACTGCCTATAACTCCAGTTCCAGGGGATCTGATGCCCTCAGTGGACACCAGACATGCATATAGTACATAGACATACATGCAGGCTAAGCACCTACATACATTACATAAAAGACTGGCCCTCTTAAAAAACCCAGCAGCTGGGGAATGGTTTATTTAGTGTACAGGGTGTTGTGTTCCATCCCCACCACAGCAGAAAACCCAACCAACACAACTACATGCTTCATTAATGCAGTGATGTACACCTACAGCTCTGTGCAAGGGGGTTCTCATCTAACACAGAACAAATAAATGAATACATACACACACACACACACACACACACAAAAAAAAAAACAAAAAAAAACCAAAAAAAAACCCAACAACCAAACTAGCAAAAATAACCAGGTAACCTGGGCTCCAGGCCTGTGACTGAGGTACAGGGGGCTGAGGCCAGGGCTACAGAGTTTTCAAGGGCAGCCTGGGCAGTGTGGTGAGGAATTGTCTCAAAAACAGCACCTGCCTGGCATGCAGGGGCCCTAACATCAGTCCCCAACACTAAAATGAATAATAAACAAAGACTCCCTCAGGGGTTCTACTTAGATGCTCTGCTAAGGGCCAGTGAGCTGATCCAGCAGGTAAAGACATTTGACACCTGAGCTCACTTCCCTGGGATCCACAGGGTAAGAGACACTTCAGAGTGGCCTCTGACTCCATGCATGCTGTAATGCATGTACATGTAATGCATATATAGGTAAATATGTGTAAAGATTTTATTATAAATATACATACATTTGTTTGTGTATGTGTGTGCGACACCCATGGAAGCCAGAAAGGCCTGAGGTGGAACTTGCTGCCATACTTGGCAGCCAGAGTTCAGTGTATATATGCACATGCACAAATTAGTGAACGAATGGCATTCAGTTAACAAGACCACCACAGCATGGAAGCCGGGATGGAATCTTGATCCTCTGGAGTAACAAGCACTCTAGCTACTGAGCCATTCTTTCTAGCCCCATAAACAACTAAATGCTAAAAATAAATAAAGTTGCTTGCACACACTTTGTATCAGCACTTAGGAGGTTGAGGCAGGCACATCTCTGCCAGTGTGAACTGACATAGTGAGTTCCAGGCTAGCAGCGACTGAGACTTGAGACCCTATCTTAGATGTTCTGAGACAGGGTCTCTCTGTGTAACCCTGGCTGTCTTGGAACTCACACTCTGTAGACCAGGTTGGCCTCAAATTCAGAGACCCACCTGCCTCTGCCTATCTTTAAAAAAATCTGATTTTGTCAGAGATTATGTGGGAGTTATGGTACATACCCATAACCCCAAGACTTAGGAGGTAGAATGAGGAAGTTCAGAAGTTCAAGATCAGCCTATACCACATAAGACCCCAACTCAAAACACCAAGTCAGTTCTTAGTTCCAGAGCACACGCCTTATGAGCCAACCACAGAGCAGAACACCCATACCAGGAACCTAGAAACAGTTGTTTGTATGACTGTTTTTAACATCAGGGAACCAAGTTTAATCAAAACTATTGGGATGTCAGGTGTGGCAGTTCATGACAATGACCCAGCTTTTGGGAGGTTGAGGCAGAAGGACTGGCTCTAAATTCCAGGCCAATCTGGGCTGCAGAGAGACTCTAAAATGTCTCCTAAAGCAAAACAATGAAAGCATAGGTTTTAAAAGGAGAACAGGGGCTGGAGAGATGGCTCAGTGGTTAAGAGCAACTGGCTGTTCTTCCAGAGGTTCCGAGTTCAATTCTCAGCAACCACATGTGGCTCACAACCGTCTGTAATGGGATCTGATGCCCTCTTCTGGAGTGCAGCTGTACATGTAGAGTACCCACACATTAAAAAAAAAAAAATACCTGGCTGGTGGTGGCGCAAGCCTTTAATTGCAGCACTCAGGAGGCAGAGGCAGGCGGATCTCTTTGAGTTCCAGGCCAGCCTGGTCTACAGAGTGAGTTCCACGACAGGCTCCAAGCTATACAGAGAAACCCTGTCTCAAAAAACAAAACAAAACACCCTGAAAACAAATAAATAAAATTCAAAAAATAAATAAATAAAAGAGAACAGACTGATTGGGGAGACGGGAAGCACACTTTTAGCCCCAGCACTATGGAGGTGGAAGCAGGCAGATCCCTGAGTTCAAGGCCATTTATACAGAGAAACCTTGTCTTGAAAACAAATAAATAAAGCAATACATTCCAGCTGGGCAGGGATGGCGCATGCCCAGTGCACTCCCAACACTTAAGCGGTAGAGGCACATGAAACTCTGAGTTGGAGGCAAGCTAGCCCAGTCTACAGAGTGAGTTCCAGGACAACCAGGCTACACAGAGATACCCTGTCTCAAATAAAACATTAAAAGAAGAAAGGGCCAGGAAAGAGGAGAGTGTTAGTAACAGTGGGACAGGCAGCTCCTCAGATGCTGAACAGCTGTCACTAATCTGGCAATGCCAGTCCTACGTACATAACCCAAAAAACTGAAAACAAAAAATTCCATCACATGCCATCAGTGTTAGTCCCAATGCTACCACCAATGAATGGGTAAAAACTAAGCAGGCACACCCAGGATGAAGTTCCTCTGGGCAGTGCAAAGGTACAAAGTACTGCAGGTGCTATACGGAAGAAGTCACCGCTAGCATGTTAAGTGACAGATACTGTGGTGGTCTTGTTAGCTGAATGCCATTTGTTCACTAATTCTTATGTGCGCGTATACACATTGGACTCTGGCTGCCAGGCATGACAGCAAGTTCCTTGCTCACTGAGCTACTCTGTACATTGTAACACCATCACTGACTGGGTTCCCAGCTCTCAACCCTCTCCTCCTGCCTGTGTGACCAACAGACTCCTTTTGTCAGGGCACTGAGAAAAACTTGAAGATTATACATATTAGGAGCACACTCTAAACCAAGCACAGTGACATACATGTAATCTCAGTACATCAGAAGTAGAGCAATAGAGTCTTGGTTTGAAGACTACACTACACTGTCCACCTGTATCTCAGAAATCAAGGACTGCAGGCCAGAGACGGCTTAGCTATTAAGAGCTTATACTGCCCTTGCAGAGAACCCACTCGGTTCCCAGCCCCTCAGCTGGCAGATCATAGCTTCCTGTTAAATCCAGCTCCAGGGGAATCCAGTACCTCTGGCTTCCTTGGGCATCTGCAGAAACATTCCTACACCAAACACACAATTAAACTAAGAAGAGCCCCGTCGTAGAGCACCTACCTGCCTGCCTTGCGCAAAGCTCTAGGTCCCAGCATTTGGGAGGCTGGGGCAAGAAGATGCCAAGTTTAAGGCCAGTGTAGTCTGCAAAGCAGGATCCTGCTCTATTTTTGAGATGGGATCTGGATATGTACCCCAGGCTGGTCTCTAACCAATAGTGATTCTCCTGCCCCAACCTTCCAAGAGCTGGGATTACAGGCCTGAGCCGCCACCACCTGGCTCAAGACCCGGTCTTAATAAAAGATGTGCAGGCATGTTTGGGGTGTGGCTCAGTGGCACGATGTGTGATCTGCCAAGCAAGCATTTGTGGGGTCTAATGCGGCCTTGTCACACAGGGGCTGCAGGGCAGGCGCACACAGTAGCACATGGAGAGCACTCAGGGCTGCAGCAGCTCTCTTGTCTAAGAAAAGGGTAAACGCACGCTCAGGAGAATCCACCAGTTTTTGCTTGTTAGAGACAGGGCCTTGGCGTGTAGCCCAAGCTGCCTTGAACTTGTAGCATTCGTCCCTCCCCTTCTAGTTTTCAGGTGAGCCCTGTACCACACCCAGCCTGCATTTAAACAAAACAGAGTATTTTCAATACCATTTATGGGCTGTTTTAGATTTCTGTCTGCCTGTTCCTTTCGTTTTGCTCACATTTATGTGGGTCCTGGAGCTGGAGTTATGGATATTTGTGAGCCATCACATGGGTGCCGGGAATGGAACCTGAGTCCTCTGCAAGAGTAACTGACCTCTGAGCCATCTTCTGCCCACCTGTCTCTTGAGACAGCATCAAGGATACAGACTGGCTTGAAATTCCCCATGTGGTAAAGATCACCGTGACTGACCCACCTGCCTCCACTACCACATGCGAGGATTCAGGCAACTGTAGCCGCGGCAAGTGCAGCAGGAATCAGCACCTAGTGCAGCCGTGGCTCACTGGTGGCTCACTGATGCACACGCTCTGCTCTCAGCCTGATGAGCCTGGGAACCTGTCAACTGGTTCACAGCCGTTGCAACTGCTTGACCCCAGTCATGTGCAGATACTCTGGGGAGGACTCTCTAGAGGCTGGATCCCCTCATCAAAGAAAGAGTTTCAGAGCCATCTATATGAGCAGCCCCAGTGCCCTACGGAGTCGGTATGCTGCTGTCACAGGGAGAAGGGAAATGGGCACAATCAGACTGCACTAACTCTCTGTACCCAGCAACAGAATCATGAACATGACTTAGGAAGCCACAGTAAAGTGCAAGGCTGGCCATTCCCCAACAGTGTCAATGATCCTCTAAAGGACTTCAAGTTTCTGAATGCTAATGAGCCTGAGGCAGGTGCCAGCTCCTGCTGCCTACATCTGGACTCCTCCTATCTCCAAAGTGCACAGGCAGCACCTTGCTCAAGCTAAAAAGGAAGCAAGCTGTCACCCTTAGGCACAAACACACTAGACAGGTCTAGCCACATTCAGGCCACACCCCCCAGTGCTCATCTGCAGGCTTGTCCTGTTCTAGGGTCTTTCCTTCTGTCAGATTCTCTCCTGCACCAAGAAGTAAACATCTACCACACCAGTGCTGACCAATGAAAACTCAACTTCTCAAGTGGAGAATGTCAGTGTGGCCTAGTAGGCAGGGAGCACAGGCTCGGCAAACAGACCCAGGGCAGGTGACTTCACTCTTGGGTCAGCTTCCCCACTTGTGACCTGGAATGTGGTCATGTAGGAGGACCTGACACAACCTTGCGAGCACTAAACACACCTCTGGAGGGCTAACTATGTACTCAAACACAAATGGCCAGGACCTCACAAACCAGAGCTCTCACAGGTCCTGGCTTTTAAAAATACCTTTGGACCCAGCAGTGCTGACAGGCGGAAACAGAACCTATGCTCAGTTGACGAGCAGTACACAAAGGCACAGCACAGCTGGGCAGTGGTGGCTGCTGCCTTAGGAGCGTGCTGGCAGCCCAGGTGCTCAAAGCTTCTTCAGCCTGAGACGCACCAGCTCAAAGGTCTACACTGTCATGTAAACTCATACTTCAGACTGTACAGGATTGACTCATCCAAGAGGGTTAGACCTCACCAGAGGGGCTCAAATGTATAAACTGGAACTGGCCAGAGAAAGAACAGCCACATTTCAGAAAACATTGCTGGTGAGTGTTTGCCCACAAGGCTACCATTGCTTTAAAAGGAGGCACAGTGAACTTAAGACAAAGACAGTTGTAGTCATGGCTTGGTGCTTACTCTTGGAGGCCCAATTATCATCCCTGTCCATCTTGTAAGTGTCATGTCTTCGTCGTCCTCTAGACCCCAGCTAACTGTGCCGTCGCCTACTCCTTTCTGGCCTTCTTCCAGCTCTTCCAACAGTCGGAAATTTCGAGGGACTTTTACTCCTAAAACAAATGGAAAGAAATTCAAGATGCTAGCAAGTCCAGGGGAAGTTGTAAGCCTTGAGCAGGCTGTTCATTGCCGCCGTCTGAACACAAGGGCAGCATGCACACAGCTCCCAGAGGTCTCACCTGCAGTACACACTGAGCCCTGGAGAGCCGGAGGGGTGCTCAGTCACCCCAGCCCTTCCACACACCCATCCTAACTCCCAGTCTAGATGTTGCTTCCTTCGGGTCCAAGAGCTGGCTGAGAGGAAAGGCAACACCAAATGCAAACTGTGGCCTGGAACACAGCACTTTCTTTCACCTGGTCCCAGCATGGCACATTTTGGAGGCTGCAGAGACTTGGAGATGCTCCTAGCTGGGATGACTCACGTGGCCTTAGAGGCACAAGCATGTACCCCAAGAAATGCTGTCCCAACAAGTGGCTGTCAGCAGAGGTGCCAAGGGCAGGCTCTCAAGGCTTTCCCAACTGGGAAGCCGGGGCTCCTCTCCTCATTTATAAAAAAATGCCACAAGAGCAGCTGGTTTTGACTAACTTTTTAGTCCCAAAGCCCAGCAAGCTGTCCATGAAGAAACATTGCCAGGTCATACTAGCCACCTGAGCTGAGTCTGAGCCTTGAACCACGTCAAGGTCAAGCAAGGTGTCTTGTACAGAGCTCAAACTGGGGGCACAAATACCAGCGGTGGCAGCTGACAGCTCACTCCTGGACTCCCCTGGACTTTCCCTGAGGGGGGAAAAACCCTTAAGATCTACACAAGCCACAGGCTCTCTTTGAACACTGAGCCCCTCACCTACCCGACTCCAGCACTCACTCTGTAGCACTGTGAGGAAAAGCCGAGGAGACCAGAAGAGAGAGCTCCGGGTGCATCCTGAGCTTCCTCACGTGCAAAGCACAGGCCAGCACTAGCTCACTTGCCCCATTGTGGCAGCCATGCCCCAGGCTCTGGGAGACAGGCAGGGAGCAGTGCCTATTTTCCTGGAACCCACCACCTCGGGGAGGCATGGGATAGACATAGTAAGTTCTGATATTTCTAAGTGCCAAGAAGCGGAGTGCAGATGCCAACCCAGCAGAGGAAACGGCTCTGACAGTGCAGCACCTGGGGAACAGGAGAGGCCACTGGAGCTCTCAGAGTGACCTGAGGGTCTCCTAATTCAGACAGACCCCAAGTGCTATTGGGGGGATGGCGGGTGCCAAAAAGGACCAGTGGCCATGTAGCGAGGAGTGCATGGTTCAAGCAGACAGGATTTCTGTTAGATAGCCTGTGGTGTTTAAGAAAGAGAGATCAACTCTAGCACCCAAAGGTCTGGTGTGAGTATATGGAACAAACTTGCTCAAGGACCATGCGATGACTTTGACAGTGATAGAGTGCTTCATCCTCCAGAGCCACAATTACTGTGACTTACTGGGCTAGGAGCAGTACAGGGCCTAGCAGTTGATTCCATTCTCACTAAAATGAGAGTGATTTTTTTTTTTTTGGAGGCAGAGTTTCTCTGTGTAGCCCTGGCTGTCCTGAACTCGCTCTGTAGACCAGGCTGGCCTCAAACTCACAGAGATCCACCTGCCTCTGCCTCCTGAGTGCTGGGATTAAAGGCGTGCGCCACCACCTCCTGGCGAGAGTGACTTCTTACTGCTGGGATGCAGTAACTCAGTAGCAGAGCATGGTCCAGCAGGCAGCTCCCGCTTCTATCCCCAGCACTACAGAATTTATTTAAGGCAAATAACATCATCCTATCTCCCATTTACAGTAACAGTAAAGTTTTTTTTTTTTTAAATCATGCTTGAAGCTGGGAATGCTGGTCCATGAGCAATGTCTTTAATCCCAGCACTCGGGAGATAGAGACAGACAGATTTTGAGGCCAGTCTGGACTACAGAGTGAGTTCCAGGGCAGCTAGGGCTATGAAGAGAAACCTGTCTCAAAGAACTGTGCACATGCATGCACCTCAGTGTCATTCAACAGGAGCTGGCACCTTGGTTTTTTTTTTTTAATTTGTTTTATAGTTTTTGAGGTAGGGTCTCTCAGTGGCCTGATGTTCACGACAGACTACAGTGGCTGGCCACTGAACCCCAGGGACCCTGCCCCCACCTCCAAACACTGAGATCACAGACTCAGTGATCCTGCCTGCCTGGCTTTCTATTTGAATGTTGAAGCTCAAAACCAAGTCAGCAGTCTTACAAGCAGTATCACCTGAGCCATTCTCAGGACAAGTATGCAAGCAAAAGACCCATCTGACTGAAAACACTACATAACAGCACACGTGGTCCTGCGGGGGGGGGGGGGGGGGGGGCGACGAATGGCATAGCAAAGATCTAAAAGCATACTTGACTCACGGGCTTGGGAACCACCCGCATTTGTCACACTCAGGAGAGCCAACTGCACGGTCTGGCTGGTGACGTTCTACAGCACACATGAAGCTAAAAGAGATTTGGATATCTGTTTAGAGGGGAGGACTGGGAGACAGCCCAATGGCAAGAGCACTTGCTCTGCAAGCACGAGGACGAGGACCTGAGTTCAAATTCCAACATCCATGTAGACATTGGGGTATGGGTGAACATGCCTATGTGCCTGTGACTCCATCACTTGGATGGAGTCAGGCGAGCTCCTGACTGTGAGACTGTGTCCTGTACCGTGTGGACAGGTGTGCACGCCTGCATTCTCATGTGCTCGCATGCCTCAGAGTTAAATCTAACTACTACTGCTATTAGAAACAGGGTCTTCATATGTAGCCTAGGCTGGCCTCAAATTCAAAAGAGATCCTCCTGCCTCTGTTTCCCAAGTGCTAGAATTAAAGGCATATACCACTACATTTGGCCACTCTTAATTTTTTATTATATTAATGTGCATGTACGTATATGTAGGTCAGAGGGCAACTGCACGAGTTGCTTTTCAGTGATCAAACCCAGTCTGTTAGCAGTGAACAGCTTTAAGTGCTGAGCTGCCTTCAATGCCCTTAAACTCTTTTTCTTCTCTCCTCTCTTGAGACAGGGTTTCTCTGTATCTATGGAGCCAGTCCTGGAACTCACCCTGTAGACCAGGCTGGCCTTGAACTCACAGAGAACCGCCTGCCTCTGCCTCCCAAGTGCTGGAATTAAAGACATGTGCCACCACCGCCCAGCCTTAATTTCTTTTTTAATAATTACATATAGCCGGGTGGTGGTGGTGCACACCTTTAATTCCAGCATTGGGGAGGCAGAGGCAGGCAGATCTCTGAGTTCAAGGCCAGCCTGGCATACAGATCATGTTCCAGGACAGTCAAAGGATAAACAGAGAGACCCTGTCTTGAAAAACCAAACCAAACCAAAAAACAAAAACAAAACAAAAAACAAACAAACAAAAAACTCTCTTCTGGCCTGCAGACATACACACAGACAGAATATTGTATACATAATAAATAAATTAAAAACAAAACAAAACAAAAACAAAAAACCCACAACCCACACAGGTACAGTGTATTTGTGCAAGTGAGTGTGGTACCCACAGAGGCCAGAAGAGAGATCCCCTGGAGTTGGAGTTACAGCCGGTTGTGAGCCTCCAAAATTAAATTTAAATCAGCCCTAAACTTAAATGTTTAATAATAATACAAACTTGGCTGTACAAATGACTGCACATCACTTCTAGCTGTCACCAAAGTTCACAAGAGCAGAAACGAATGACCAAAGAGCACCAGTTACACTGCTAGATGGCCATGACCACCCTATCTGAAGGGCTTTACTAGTGGAGAGTCTATGGGCCTGGCCCAACTCAGCAACAGTTCCTGCCTAGTGGGCACGAGGCCCTGGGTTTCAACCCTACCAAGGTAAAGGTAAGACAGTCATGGATCCATGGACTAACTCCTATTCCTCCTGAACTAAGAAGGAGGCAGCTTGGGACCCTAAACCAAATTACAGACTCCTTAAGAGGACATTAGGATAAAGAAAGGCTGTAGGGACACAGGAAGCAGGAATCACCTACAAACAAAAGGGAGCAGCCTCAGAAGACATCAGTGGGCTTGACTCTGGACTTCCTGGAAAGAGAGGGAGAGGGAGAGGGGGAGAGGGAGGGGGAGGGGGGAGGAAGAGGGAGAGGGAGAGAGAGAATATTTGTTTGGGTATCTGGTTACAGCAGTTCAGATGGTGGGAGATAACTCTAGAAAGCTGGGAAGGATACAGACTGGGATGATGTTAGCAGAGGCACCTGTGGACACAATGGCTGCCGTGATTCCCTCCTTCCTTCTGCGCCTTGGCCCAGATCTACTTTACCTTCCTGCCTCAGCCTCCTTAGCTGAAAATATGGTGTGTGTGAGCTCATGTGCAAGCGTGTGCACCCACGGCACTCCTAGCAAGGTCCCACCACCCGGCCTTTGCACTTCTTAGTCTCTATAGACGACGTCCTTCAGACAGCCCTAAGACAGACTCCTTCACCTTCTCTGAGGACTCAGTTCTGGGACTGATTCAGTAATCTGTTTTCTTCTGTCAGGCTGGGGACCAGTGAGCTGGCTCAGCATGTAAAGGTGGCTGCCACCAAGCCTGACCATCTGACCTACCCCTGGAAGCCATGTGGTGGAAGGAGGGAACCGGCTCCCACAAGTTGTCCTCTGACCTCTGCATTCACACCATGGCACACATGTCCATACACATAGACCCCAAGCACTCCATCAGCCCTTAGTATCTCCCCGCCACCAACCCGCTCCAAAGTATCTTTTCTGTTGAGATAGTCTCCTGTAACTCAGGCTGATCTCAAACTCACCACAAAGCCGAGGAGGATTTTGATCCTCCAGCCTCAGCAGCTGGAGCAGCTGGGATGACAGGTCTGCACAATTGTCTCTGGCTAGCATGTTACTTTCCAATCCATTCCCCTCCCCCACTTTGTGTGTGTGTGTGTGTGTGTGTGTGTGTGTGTGTGTGTGTGTGTGTG